ATAAGATATAAAATATTACTCCGGATTTTCAGGGTTATTGATCAGCGAATTAAGGTCCAATTCGCATTCCGGTGACAATAATATATCAATATTTCTTGAAAAAAAAAATTTATCCCTTATATATATATAGAGAACAAGTATTTTAATTACCATCATAATCATCTAGTTGTTTTTACTATGTAAGGTCATGAAGTCATTTTACATATAACATCTTTAATTGTATTCCTTTTCTAAAATATATAGAAAAAATCAATAATAAAACCATTAATTAGTCATTAATAAAATTTTCTTTTCTTTTAACCTATATATTTGCATATTAATAACATCTCCATCAAATCCTGCTAATGCATTAATAAATAAATACCTTTTAATTTAATCATTACACTTTCAAATATATATAAAAAATGGATGAAAAAAAAAATTAGTAATAGTATGAAGCTAATCTTTAAAAATATTAAAAAAACCAAATTAACTGACATTATTTCCATTTTATTAATAGCATTCTTGAAAAAAGTCTGTTATGCAAATTTGTTTTTGTTTGAAAATATTAATATCAATAAATTTTGTTTGATACAATCTTCTATTTCATCCAGCAATGTATATTAATATATTAATATTATTAGAAGTTAATACTTTTCTATAAACAAATTATGTAATTTAAAAAAATAAACATTTAAAGATTGGAAATTAGAACTTAACTATTGCATTTATTATTATTATGTAAAAAAAATTAAGCCCAAAGATTGAAAATGTGCATGTTATCCAATTTCTTAATTTATTATTATTATAGAACTTATAGAACTGGTAGTCCAACTTCATGTTAAGATTATTGCTTAGTGGTATTTGTTTACCCTGGCAAAAAATACATCAAAATAAAGGTTTTTCATATATTTGTTATTTTTTATGATTAAAGTAACAATTTGATTAAATCAGGCAAGTTTGTATATGAAAGCATGATTTTTTCTTCATTTTTTCATTTTTTCATATAAAACTTTGTGTTGATCAAAAAAATTTTTATTAGTATTAGTGAGTGACACTTGACCCCCTGTAGATCTGCAATATCCTGTGACTGATACAGTGTGAAAAATTTGTGTACCAATGGAATTGCAACTTAGCTTGTGACTTGTGACATGGTTTGTGACTTGCAACATGATTTGTGACTTGCAACATGATTTGTGACTTGCAACATGATTTGCGACTTGCGACATTGCAACATTTTAATGATGGCTGTAACTAAGGGTTGCAACCATTGCCACAATATATTAATTGCGGCCAGTATCTTTATTCAGAAGCACCATTAGAACGTTTTGAAAGATATTTATTGATATCATTAATTGCTTCTTAATTTGGAGGAAGGTGAATATCTTGTGAAACACCTCCTTCAATTCCACGTTGTTTGTTTTTGCTATGATAATGCTGAAAAAGTAAACCACCATCAGGTAAAGGTTGAAATTGATCAACACGAAGGTTGTAGTGTTCTCCACCACGACATGCAAAATTAGTTGCATTTCGAAAAAATACTCAATATAAAAGGCCTTCAGGGGTATTTGTATTAAGAAAATTATCAGCAAGAATTTCTTGAACTTGTTGTGCTGTTAATGCCATTGATCCCTCTTTTTCGCCAAATCCTTTTTCTTGCAAATCTTTCATTTTACCATGTAATACAGTCCATAAATCTGGAAACTTGTATTTGTCATGTAAATATAAGTTAGAAGTTAATCAGTTAATTCATTCTTAACTACTATCTTGTAATAACCATAATACCTTATTAATAAAATACAAACATAAATATCTATTAAAATAATCTATTGCCAGTGGAATTATCCACCCGCTTCCTAAAAACATATAAACCTCTAACTCGACCTAATTATTAATTAATTACTATCTTACCAGGGGGACGCCTTTGATAAGTATAGTGTGTGAATTCTCTTTTAATCTTATTTTCTTTATTTTTATTTTAGATTAGGCCAACGCCTAAATAAGTGGAAACCCTAGCTAGGTGTGGTCAGTAAAGAAACACTGAACCATCAGAACATAACACAACAGTATCAGGGAAGATACTGGGATTATTATCAGAAGGGATAATAATTGACACGTTCCGGCTCAGGCAGAAAACATAGCAACTGCTGAGAAAACGTTACCGGACGGGAAGTAAGAAAACTTACCCTGCAGAGAGTTAAATAGCTTGAACGCTATAAAGAAAAGAAAGTAATCAAAGAATTACACAACTGGATACTGCCATAGGAAGGGATAAATAATATTATAACCAAATCAATAGATTTGTGTGAGACAGAATTTTTGATCTCACATTTTGGCGACGACGACAGGACCACAATCTTCAGGATAGTCTTCATACTACTTGGAATTGAGTATTGTGGTCAACAACCTAATTATAGGGCAGAAATAAAGACGTATATAAGTCAATACGGAGTATCCAGTGGAGGAGTATCAGACCCAAACAGGGGACTATAAATTATTTGAAGATACTGATTCAAACCCATCAGAAGTAACAGATTCTGAGCTTGTTCAATTCAATCTTTCAGAAACTGACGTGGACTGTATGTCAGAGGAAGAAACTGCAAACCAAGCAGTAGTGGAAGAGTTAATAACTTTAGAGGAAGATAATAGTAAACAACCGGAGATAACTCCTTATCTTATTTTTAGTGAATCTAGCCATACTTCCGGAGGAGGAAGTAGCAAAATAACAAAAGAGGAAGAACCAACAGGAAGCAATCAGGAGAAGGATAGCGAGGATAAACAAGAAATCACAGAGGAGGAAAACGAAGATACAGACACAGACTCTACAGATACAGACTCTACAGACACAGACTCTACAGATTCAGATCAAGAGGACGGTGACAAGACAGTAGAAAGTCCAACAAAAAAATTAACAGAATTTGAGAACAAAACAAATCAGGAACCTGTTGAACCTTACGAAATTAACTCAGACCAAGAGTCAGATACATTGTACGTTCGACATACTTCAAGCAGTGAGGAAGCAAGTCCAGAAAAGAAAAACAAAGAGAGGGAAATAATCTCAGAAACAAATCTAGAAGATTCAGACAAGGAAATCCAGATACCTAGCCCAACAAAAATGAGCACTATGACAGCAATGGATGCAAGCCAAACAGTTGGAAATCTGTCCAATATTTTCCAAGGAGTAACTGCTATGGCCCCTTCTACAACCAGTGGATCAACTGAAGGATACAATATAATAGGAACATTTGGGGATTACTTTAAGCCACATTGCTGGTCAAAGAATTGTAAAGAACTAGTTAATTATGAAGGTGAGAAGTGTAGAAGTTGTAATCAGTGTGCTCGCCACGGATGCGATGGAACAGCACCTGAAGTTAGAAAATGGTGTAGCGATTGTCGTTATAAATGTAAGGTACCTGGGTGTCATAAGAATCGAAAACCTGGGGAACATAATTGTGAAAATCATAGTAAAGAAGAACCAGCACCATGTGCATGGTCTGGATGTAAACAACCTGCAGAAACATCAAGGGATTTTTGTAAAGAATGTCAGGAGAATGTAAATAAGATGTGTGAGGTATGGCAATGTTATGAACCAAAATGTAATGAATCTGCACAATTTTGCAGAGGGTGTTGGGATAAGAAGTATGAGGAGGCAAAAAGACAGCAACAAACATCAATCAGCCAAAGTTCAAATCAAACTAAATCTAACTCGACTTCCGGATCAGGAAGTAATGAAGTGCCAGTAGTGACTATTCAAAATCAGGGCAGAAGTGGCTCTGGTACAACCACAATTGAATTAGGAAGTGATGGGAAGCCAACATATGAATGCCTTATAGATGCATGCGACAAGAGAGTAAGAACAAAGGGGGAGAAGTGTGAGGATCATAAATATTGTGAACATGTAGGATGTAAAGAAGAAGCACCATTTGCATTTAGATACTGTAAAAGGTGTCAATTATGTTGCAGAGCAGATGGATGCTTCAGTACAAGGGAATGGAAAAAGGCTTACTGCAAGAGCCATTTAACCACAAAAGCAGTGCCTTGCGCTATATTTGGCTGTAAAAGAAAAACAGGAGACCAAGCATGGGAATTTTGTAATGAATGTGTTAAGGAAATAATTAAGTTAGGAGAGAAGACAGGGTGCGACGTTTGTCAAATTCCAGATCCATCATGTTACGATTGTCAATGTGTAAGAATTCTACAAGAGTATAATGAGATAAGGAAAGAGGCTTTAAAATCCAAAAATGTAACCTTTGATACTCAGAGTTCTAGTTCAACTACAGCAGGATCAAGTACAACAGGTGGACCAAGACCTATTTTAAGAAATCACACAAACAGTATAATTAGTAGCATAAGCCCACTGACAGGAAATAACTCTAGCTTCATCAGTAATGCAAGTTCCAACTCAATTGGAACTAGTAACTTACTTGATATAAATTCAAACCCAACTCAAATTTTACCAATAAGGGCTGGAGGGGGATTTGGAGGAAACTGGAATAATCCACCACCAATTAATAATAATCCACCACCAATTAATAATAATCCACCACCAATTAATAATAATCCACCACCAATTAATAATAACCCACCACCAATTAATAATAATCTACCACCAATTAATAATAATCTACCACCAATTAATAATAATCCACCGCCAATTAACAATAACCCATCACCACCTCCACCACCAAACAATAACAATCAAGGTGGAAATAATAATAACAATAATGGGAATAACAATCCTTATGTTGTGGATGCAAGTATCCTCCTTCAAATATTGCAAGCTCAACAACAACAACAGCAGCAAAACCAAGGAGGAGGTCTGAGAGAACAAAGATTAGTGGAACTACCGACCTTTGATGGGGCTGGAGAAGACCCTTATCACTGGTGGAAATCTTTTAATGATGCATGTAATGCAAATAATATTAGCTTGGAAAGAAGACTACAAATAGTACCATCCTTTTTGAAAGGACAAGCAAATGTCTGGTGGAAGATGGCAAGTCCATTTACTACTGTGTGGGAAGTGCCACGAAATGGAGTAAATGAACATGTTAGTTTTAAGAAACAATTTTTTGATTATTTTTGCACACAATTCCATAGACAGAACTGGATGGAAATAGTGAAAGAAAAGTAGATTTTTACCAATGGAATGCTTTTTTCTCAAAGTATTTTAAAATTCTCCCTGGGATTTCTAAATATTATCATTTTCTATTTGAAAGTGAACATCCAGGTTATATAAAATATAAAAGGTGTCATAATGATGATTTTGGATCTTATAATTGTCTTTTAAAGGACCACAGTTTAGATATTAATTCAATTAATTTGGATGATGAATTGAAAATCAAAGAAGCAATAGGGTTAAGTGCTTCTAGACAATGGTATTTATATGACCAAATATGAGATCTAGTGCAAAATCCCAATAAAAGAAATAATATTTGTCCAAAACCTTCTGTACCTAGACATTAATTGTTAATTTTATCAATAATTTATTAATTATATGTATTATTATTGTTTTTTTATTTTTATTAAAATTTTTTGGGTCAAGATTGTCTGCATATTTTCTATTTTAAATTTTTCGGGTTGTCATTTCCTTTTATGGGAAATTAATAACAAAAACTTCAAACCCCTTTTTCTCAAAATGACAAAAAAAAAAATTCACTGATTTTCTCAGATGACGTCCCATATACAACTTTAAATAATAATAATTTTATTTTTCAAATTGTCAAATATTAAAATTTGTTTTAGGATGGTCGACATCTGATGTAGTTAATTGAATATGGATATAAAATGTATACATAAAATCGTAATAAATAGTTTCTTTTGCAATCCCTACAATTTTTCCTCTTTGCATTAGGTGGGTAATTAACCAAATATGAAAAATGTACTTTAAAAATTATAAATGCTACAATTATGAACACATGTGTTTTTTTCCTACCAAAAAAATCTAGATTTCCCATCTAATATTAACACATTCACATCATTTTGAATGATATCAAATATTCATATGCCTATATATTCCTTCCACATATAAATTGAATTTTACATCATGATCAACCTTTAATGTTATTAAATATGCAATTAAGTATAACTATTATTTATATTACACTCACTGGACAAAAATATATGAACATTTGTTGATCATCAAAAATAATCGAGTGACTTTGATGTAATAAAACTAATTATTTTATTAACCTAATCGATCCTATTTATTAAGTAGAAATCCTTTTTCATATCAAATTCTATAACATACTGAAGTT